TGTATCCTAAGACTTTGCTGAAGTTGCTTATCAGTTTAAGAGAGATTTGGGGCTGCGATGATAGGGTCTTCTAAACATACAATCATATCGTCTGCAAATAGAGACAATTTGACTTTCTCTTTTCTTAATTGAATACCCTTTTTTTTCTTGCCTAATTGCTCTGACTAGAACTTCCAATACTATATTGAATAAGAGTGGTGAGAGAGAGCATCCTTGTCTAATGCCAGATTTCAAAGGGAATGCTTCCAGTTTTTGCCCATTCATTATTATATTGTCTGTAGGTTTGTCGTAAATAGCTTTTATTTTTTTCAGATATGTTCCTTCGATAGATAGCTTTTATTATTTTGAGATATGTTCCATTGATACCTAGTTTATTGAGGATTTTTAGCATAAAGGGCTGTTGAATTTTGTCAAAGACCTTCTCTGCATCAATTGAAATAATTATGTGGTTTTTGTCTTTGGTTCTATTTATATGACGGATTATATTTATAGATTTGTGTATGTTGAACCAGGCTTGAATTCCCAGGATGAAGCCTAGTTGGTCTTGATGGATAAGCTTTTTTATGTGCTGTTGCATTCAGTTTGATAGTATTTTATTGAAGATTTTTGCATCTATTTTCATAGTGGATATTGGCCTGAAGTTTTCTTTTTTTGTTGAGTCTCTGCCAGGTTTTGGTATTAGTATGATGCTGATCTCATAAAATGATTTTGGAAGGATCCCTTCTTTTTGTATTGTTTGGAATAGTTTCAGAAGGAATGATACCACCTCTTCTTTATAGAAGAGGTGGTAGAATTCTTCCAGTCTGGTAGAATTCAGCTGTGAAATCATCTGGACCTGGACTTTTTTTGGTTGGTGGGCTATTAATTGCTGCCTCAACTTCAACCCTTGTTATTGGTCTACTCATGGTTTCAACTTCTTCCTGGTTTGGGAGGGTGCAAGTGTCCAGGAATTTATCCATTTCTTCCAGGTTTACTGGTTTATCTGCATGAGATGTTTTTAGTAATCTCTGATTGTAGTTTGTATTTCTGTGGAATCAGTGATGATGTCCCTTTTATCATTTTTTATTGCATCTATTTGATTCGTCTCCCTTTTCTTTTTTATTAATCTGGCTAGCAGTCTGTCTAGTTTGTTGATCTTTTCAAAAAAAAATAGCTCCTGGAATTATTGATTTTTTGAAGGATTTTTTGTGTGTGTCTCTGTTCCTTCATTTCTGCTCTGATCTTAGTGATTTCTTGTCTTCTGCTAGCTTTTGAGTTTTTTTAATCTTGCTCCTCTAGCTCTTTCAATTTTGATGATATGGTGTCGATTTTAGATCTTCCTTCACTTCTCGTGTGGGCATTTATTGCTATAAATTTCCCTCTAGGCACTGCTTTAAATTTGTCTCAGAGGTTCAGGTATGTTGTGTCTTCATTCTCATTGGTTTTAAAGAACATCTTCATTTCTGCTTTCATTTCATTGTTTATCCAGTTGACATTCAGGAGCCAGTGTTCAGTTTCCATGAAGCTGCATGGTTCTGAGTTAATTTCTGAATTCTAAGTTGTAATTTGATTGCACTGTGGTCTGAGAGACTGTTTGTTATGATTTCTGTTCTTTTGCATTTGCTGAGGAGTAATTTTCTTCTGATTATGTGGTCAGTTTTAGAGTAGGTGCAATGCAGTGCTGAGAAGAATGTATATTCTATGGATTTGGGGTGGAGAGTTCTGTAGATGTCTATTAGGTCCACTTGGTCCAGATCTAAGTTCAAGTCCTGGATATCCTTGTTAATTTTCTGTCTCGTTGATCTGTCCAATATTTACAGTGTAGTGTTAAAGTCTCCCACTATTATTGTCTGGGAGTCTAAATCTCTTTGTAGGTCATTAAGAACTTGCCTTATGTACCTGGGTGCTCCTGTATTGGGTGTATATATATTTAGGATCATGAGCTCTTCTTGATGCATTGATTCTTTTACCATTATGTAATGCCCTTCTTTGTCTCTTTTCATCTTTGTTGGTTTAAAGTCCATTGTATCAGAGACTAGGATTGCAACTCCTGCTGTTTTTGCTCTCCAATTGCTTGATAAATCTTCCTCCATCCCTTCCTTTATTTTGAGCCTATGTGTGTCCTTGCATGTGAGATGGGGCTGCAGGACAGTAAGGGTTGCTGCCAGTTTCTTCTTCTGTTATATTCTTCCCAGAAGGGTACCTGCCAGATGTCGGCCTGAGCTCTCCTTTATGAGATGTCTCTTTGGGTATATGGGGGTTGAGGAGGTGCTTGAGGAGACAGTCTGTCCCTTATAGGAGCTCAAGTGCGGTGCTGGGAGCTCCATTGTTCCGTGCAGAGATGCTGGGCAGGTACTTTTAAGTCTGCTGCAGCAGAACTCATAGCCACCTCTTTTCCCAACTGCACTTTCCTAGGAAGGTCAGCTTTATTTATAAGTTTCTGTCATGTTGCTGCCTTTTTTCATAGATGCCGTGCCCCACATGGAGTAGTCTACTCACATTCTGCCAGCAGAGTCATTGCTGAGCTGCTGTAGGCTCTGCCCAGCTGCTGTGTGAACTGCCTCAGTAGTGGCAGACTGCCTCAGTAGTGGGGGATGCCCTTCCCCCCACTGAGCTGGACCATCCTAGGTGCAGCTGTGCTTTCTGTGAAATTCTCAATCCAGACTGTTTCAGATTGCCTGTTTTATGGGGGTGGCACCCACCAAGCCAGATCACCTGGCTCCCTGTCTCTGTCCACCCCTTTCAGTTGAATGGGCTGCTCTGTCTCCTAAGCATTCCAGGCACCAGTTGAAATGGCTGCCCAGATTTGTGTGAGTTTCTGTGCACCAAGCCAGCACCAGCTGAAACCACCATGCTGAAAACTCGTGGCACTTTTTGACCCAGGAATCTCCTGGTCTGTGGGCAGTGAAAATTTGTTTGGAAATGCAGTGGGCACTCACCCTCTGTGTTGTTCCTGCTGGGAACTGCACTCCAGAGCTCTTCCTATTTGGCCATCTTGGATCCCTACCTATGTGGTCAATTTTAGAATAAGTATGATATGATGCTGAAAAGAATGTATATTCTGTTGTATGTGGTCAATTTTAGAATAAGTATGATATGATGCTGAAAAGAATGTATATTCTGTTGATTTGGAGTGGAGAGTTCTGTAGATGTATGTTAGGTTCGCTTGGTCCAGGTCTGAGTTCAAGTCCTGGATATCCTTGTTAATTTTCTGTCTTTTTTATCTTGACAACAACATGAGTAGGGTGTTAAAATCTCCCACTATTATTGTGTGGGAGTCTAATTCTCTTTGTAGGTCTCTAAGAACTTGCTTTATGAATCTGGGTGCTCAAAATATTCTCTGTCTTTGACTTTTGACAATTTGATTATCATGTGTCTTAGTGTGGATTTCTTTGGATTCATCCTATTGGGTCATTTCAGCTTCCTAGATCTGGATGTCCATTTCCTTTCTCAGATTTAGGGAGTTTTCAGTCATTATTTCTTTAAATAAGATTTCTAGTCCTTCCTGTCTTCTATTGGGACTCCCATAATGCATGTATTGGTCTGCTAATTAATGGTGTCCCATAATTTATTTAAGCTATTTTAGCTTTTTATTCTTTTCTTTGTACCTTCTGACTGGATAATGACAATCTGTGTTTGAGTCTGCTTATTATTTCTTCTGCTTGCTCTAGTCTGTCACTCAGCTATTCTATTGGATTTTTTATTTCAGTTACTATATTCTTTAGCTTTAAGACATCTGCCTATTCTTTTAAATTTTCTGTCTCTTTGTTGAAATTTTCTTTTTGTTCATGGATTGTTCTCTTGATTTGTTGAGCTTTTCCATGGTGTATATTTTGAATTGTTTGTCAGGTAATCTATATATTTTCACTTCATTAGAGTCAGTTTCTGGAGTTTTAACTTGTTTCTTCATTTGGATTTTGTTACCCTTTTTCTGCACATCATAAGAATCCACTACCTCTCTCAGTCATATGGATAGGCCTTTTACAGGAGAAGACATTCATCAGCCAACCAACCCAGAGCTTCTATGGGCTTTTTAAACCACTTTGCTAGTTTAAACTGCTTTCTTTGTTATTAGTCGCCCCCAGGCATCCAGAGTTTGTCCAGTCTCATCAATGCTCCTAGACGGGTGGCACAAAAGCCATTCTCTTGGTAGCTCCTGGAGAATTTAGAATGCTGGGTGCATGTTCCAACCCTTTTCCTTCCCAGGGAGAAGCTGGGAACTGGGATTTTTTTCCTACTCTGTGTTAAGCCAGATACAGGAGCTGTGGTGCATGCCAGCATGGTGTTGAAATTGCCATTTTTTTCTCTGTAGCCCTCAGGATACTATGACATACCAGATCATTTCAACTCTGAAATAGGTGAGAAAGAAGCCAGTCTTTCAAGTGGCGCCTGGAGAAGTTGGGGTATTATATGTGCAGCCCGACTTTTCCCATTCTGAGGTAGAAGGTGGGACTGGGGGTTTCCTCCTGATCCTATGGAACTGTGCTGGGAGTTGGGATTATCATGAATGGATGTTCTGCTTTTTCTACAGATGTTTTGTTTACAATCTGGCTGGTTTCATACTCATCCAGGGTGCAGGAGCCTCTCTATGTGTTGCTGGGTTTCTCATAAAGGGAATTGATCCTTCTGCTGCAATTAAATCAGTGTATCCATTGGGGGAAGGAGGGTCCAGGGCTTCCTATTCTGCCATCTTGCTGATGTCACTTCTCTTTCTTATTATTTCATAAAACTATATGTGAATTTTTAATTGTCTCAAAGTAAAAGCTTAATTTGATTGTTTAAAAGAACCTCAAGTTTGCTCAAGTCTAAAATGTCTCCTTCAGCTGAGATTTTTTGCTGGTATCTTTACTCTTTCCAATTACGAGCATGTCTAATCTTTTTAATGCTATCACATTACAGTATTCTTGAGATCTTCCCACCTACTAGGCTAATGTTTTCTTGGCACAGGGAAAAAATTGGTAATCAATTACTCCAGCAAAACTAACCCACTTTCCCCCCCCTCCCCTTGTTGTCTATTTGAGGTTCTGGTGTGGGATGTATAACCGCTTTGACAAAGGGCTGCAGCCCAAGCAGAGTATGCTAGAGAGCCTCCTGGAAATTAAGAAACAGAGAGCAATGCTGGAGACAGATGTGCATGAACTAGAAAAGGTGAGGAGAAAACTCCCAAAGAGAGATACTCTTGCCCCGTCCGGGTAGGTCCAGCCTGCTTGGACTTGAGTTAATACTTGTAGAAAGCTGGCTGGCTGGCTTTTCTATACTCTTTGGCTTTCCATGTGACCCATGTCTACAAAGCTTTGTGCATAATTCCTTTTGTTACTTCCCAAAATGTGGTAAATATGTCACTTAACTAGAAAAAAACAAGTGAATTTGTTCCCTTATCTCTTTTTGGATCTGGATGGAATGATTAGCAGGAACAAGAAGGAATGACAGAGAAATCACATAGCATTTGTTATCCATCAAGAGAATAAGTATAATATCTTAGGTATGCTGATAAGAACAGTGCAATTGCTGTCTTCCAATTAGAAAAATCTTATAAAAGAAGATTTTTATTTCCGTCCCATGTAAACTGCAAACTCTGCTTATTGAGTGACCGTGTTGGACACTTGTTTTTTAATTACAGGTTACAGAAGTCAAAAAGTATTTCTTGTTAATTTCATAAACTGAGCTGCTTATGAAATGTAGGGATCCCTAAGGGTTTGTTTGAAGGACAGGGAAAGGGTATCTCTTATAAAAGAATTATTGGAAATGGTGTGCTATTCAGGAACTGGGTGTGAACCCACTTTAAGCCAAATAAGGCGTAGCTTTCCTGCTCCCTGTACGTAAACAAATGTCATTTTATTATGAAAATAAATGTGTTGTAATTACATCAGATCCCAAACATTTTAATGTCCTATTGGGAGGCAATAGCCAGTTACTTGGTTCCATTTAAAAAAAAAAAAAAAAAAAAAAGGTGTTGGCCGGGCGCGGTGGCTCAAGTCTGTAATCCCAGCACTTTGGGAGGCCGAGGCGGGTGGATCACAAGGTCAAGAGATCGAGACCATCTTGGTCAACATGGTGAAACCCCGTCTCTACTAAAAATACAAAAAAAATAGCTGGGCATGGTGGTGTGTGCCTGTAATCCCAGCTACTCAGGAGGCTGAGGCAGGAGAATTGCCTGAACCCAGGAGGCGGAGGTTGCGGTGAGCCGAGATCACGCCATTGCACTCCAGCCTGGGTAACAAGAGCGAAACTCCATCTCAAAAAAAAAAAAAAAAAAAAAAGGTGTGTGGGAACCGGAGGGGGAGCTAAAGCATAACTTAAAATCATAGAAAACATGCAACCCAGGAAGGCCCAGCCCTAAGTAGATTAGATGAAGTAGGTAAACTTCTTCTTATGGCTTCTCTTTTAGCTACTAGCAGATTCTTCCACAAGGCCCTCAGGGAAGGTCCCCTATTCTAGACCCAGCCCTCTCACTTATCCCTGACTGACTCCTGAGAAAGAATCAGATACATTTCACATAGACTTAGATCACTCTGGAAAGACTTCCTTTTGAAGTGTGTATGTGCATTTATATATGTGTTATTAATTTTCTTTTTTTAATGCAGAGAAGAAAAACAAAAATGGCTTATAATATCATCCAGATAACCCTGTTGACTTTTTTTTAAAAAGGCAATATAGATATAAAGTTAGAAAATACAGAATACAATAAGGTACAAAATGAAAAGTTTAAAAGACTCCCCCCACCACCTTCAGAAAAATGTATGCCTTCTACCCTCACTGATGTATGCATTTTTCTGAAGAGAAGGTCCGTAATTTTCATCGGGTTTTCAATGGGGCCTTATGACCACAAAGAATCACTGTTGTAAAGTATCAGTGAATCATTATATTATCTCAGAAAGTGAAAATGTCTATTAGAGGTAGCATGAGATAGGCGACAGGTCATAGACTTTGGCATTAGGCAGATGTAGGATCAGATCCTAGTTCTTCACTTTCTGCATGTATGAATGTGGGTGACTTACTTAAATTCTCTGAGCCTCAGTTTCTTCATCTGTAAATATAGCTAATACCTAAACTAGGTTTATTATAAGGATGAAGGGAAATGCTGTATGTAAAGTTCCCAGCACATGGAGGTATTAAATAAATATTAGTGATCTATTCCCTTGCCCTCTCCCCATGAACAAAATTGCACTTATCAGAAAAGAGGACTTTTATAGATATAAGACCTTTGAGATTCTTCAATGGTAGGGCTTCTAAAGTACTATGGCATGTGATGAGGGAAAGATGTTGTGGGGGAGGAGGTGAGCAAAAGGCCATTTGCTACCATTATAAGTCACAGCAGTAGGATCCCTGCAGGTCAAGGTGATGTTTGCCTGGTTTTTCCTCCTGTTTCTAATTCTTCTCAACCCTTTTTTGCTCCTGAGGCAGAAACTAAAAGCCCGTGATGAGCCACCAGAAGAGATCTGTACCTGCTCTCAATTAGGAAACTTATTATCCCAACATCTGGGAAGTCCTTTGACCAATCCTCTTGGCTTTATGGGTATTGATGGAGACCTGAATACCTTGATGGAGAATGGCACCCTCTCCAGGGAAGGAGGCCTCCGAGCTCAGATGGATCAAGTAAAAAGCCAGTGTCCAGACCTCCACCATGACTGTTGTGGGATTGTGGGTAGCCTTAGGGCCATAAATATCTCTGAGGATGTGGGCATCTCTGGAGACACAGGCATCTCTGAGGCCAGGGGCATCTCTGGAGACATGAGTACCTCTGAGAGTACAGAGTTCTCCAGAGACTTAGGAATCTCTGGGGCCATGGACATCTCTGAGGCCACGGGTATCTCTGGAAACATGGGTATTTCTGAGGCCAGGGGTTTATCTGGAGACCTGGGTTTCCCTGGGGACATGGGCATCTTGGGAGACATAGGCATCTCCAAGGCCAGCACCAATGAAGCAGACTACTCCAAGCAGCAGTGAATTAGTTACTCATCTGCTTCCATGCTAGGTACACCTATAGCAGCTACAATGATTATTGCCCAGAGAGGGCTCTGCTACTTTTCCAATTTGTTTAAGTGGGTGAGGCCAGGGCACCCCTCTTCCCATTGAAGAGTCTAGAAGGAAATTACTTTACTGATTAAGTGACCAATATGTTCATATTAAGCAGTACAGAGTATAGCCAAGGCAAAGAATATGTTATTGTTCTAAAATGGGATTTAACTATAGAAATGTTGCCTCTCAGCTGAGACATGTATTAAGCTGGTTCTACTATCTGTTTTTCTTAATGATTGACCTTCCCTATTTTCTACCCTCACTGATGTAATGTGAGAGTGAATGGAAGTATTGTCACAGTGGTCAATAACGACCCATTTGAGGGGATGGAGAGATGGTATACACCAGGTAACTAAATTGCAGAATATATTAAAAGAAAATTTTACTTTCAGGTATTCTTAGTCATGAGATGTTAGCTAACATTATTGCCAATGGAGACATACAATATTTCTCTGAGAAAGAAATCAAAGTGATGCTTAATTGTTAGCATGAGTGCATGGGTGTTTGGTGGTTTGAAACATGTAAGGAAAGTTTTCTTAAGTTACGACACTTGGTCTCTCCAACCCACACCCCAGCTAGGTCTTGTTATAATACTTAGCCAATTCCCTTTTTCATAGATGGCTCATAGGTAAACTTGAATCCACTACAGTCTGAAATTATAAACTTCAAATTAATGAGATTTGAGTTAATAACATTGATTAATAGCATTGTCAGCATCAGTTCAGGAAGTAATTGAAAATCTCGGTGCTTCAGACTCAGACTGAGACATGGGCTATGTGCCTCTCTGGGTTTTTGCAAAATACATCCCTTTTTGCATCTTTTTATGAAGACAAATGGTTTTCCTTATCTAGATATTACATGAGATTTGTGGATTTTTTAGACACAATTGGCTCTACTTTTAAATCTGGTAGGTTTATCACCTTGTGCTAATGTACACTTTTGAATAAAGTCCATTCTGATAGCATATACAGATACTACTGGGGAAAGGGATGTATTTTTATTTAAACATCAGGTTTTCTCCTAGGGCTTGATATACTTGATGGGTTTTTCATCTTTCCTATTGGCTATTTAGTCATGATTTTGCTACTTCCACATACTGAGAGTAGGATAGGCCTTGGTCAGTTTGGATCATGCTCTGTATATTCTCAGCAATTCCAGAACTCTTAATGCCAACAGAATCCAGGTCCTCAACCAAAATGTCTTTTCCAAATACTCTATATTTCGCTTAAGCTAAAAAATTAAATGACTTAAAGAGGCATCTCTTGATTTTCACACCCAGTTGTGCACATAGAAATCTCTAGAGGATTTAGGTGCTTTCCTTCAAAAAAATCTCTAAAGAATTAGGTGCTTTTCTTTAAAAGAAAAGAGGTACTTTTTAAGGGTTTAATTTATGTGTAGGAGAGGAATACCAGGATAGCTCCTTGATTTCTTGTCCCTAGATAAACTATGTACCCACAAAAACCTCTTTAGTGGAAGAACTCTAAATCATTTGGTTGTCTTTTTTTAATATATAAATGAAGTCATTTTTCTGTTAATTTCCTCTTGGTAACTGTTTTAATTCTTTGTTTTTAAAGAACTCTTAATTTATTTGGAACTTACCCATTAATAAATAAGGGCCAGCCGGGCGCGGTGGCTCAAGCCTGTAATCCCAGCACTTTGGGAGGCTGAGGCGGGTGGATCACGAGGTCAGGAGATCGAGACCATCCTGGTCAACACGGTGAAACCCCGTCTCTACTTAAAATACAAAAAATTAGCTGGGCATGGTGGCGCGTGCCTGTAATCTCAGCTACTCAGGAGGTTGAGGCAGGAGAATTGCCTGAGCCCAGGAGGCGGAGGTTGCAGTGAGCCGAGATCGTGCCATTGCACTCCAGCCTGGGTAACAAGAGCGAAACTCCATCTCAAAAATAAATAAATAAATAAGTAAATAAATAAGGGCCATATATTACTTACATCTTTTTGATAGCTGCCTTGATCCTATAATTTTAAAGCACGAAGATGATTTCCTTTTGTATCTCTCTGGTCCTCCTCTTTCCATGATTTAGTCCTTACCTTATATAAACTAAATCATCATTTGACTTCTTTTGGAAGAAAACATGTGGTCTGTACACACCATTTTGATCTGGAGGTTACATGTAATTCTGGCTTTGTGAAGGAAGTTGCCAAAAAGGATGACAGTACCAATCTGCCACCAGTGAGCCATTCTGGAACTTGTTCCCACATCTTTCTCCCATATCTCAATCTGTATTTTGCAGTCCATTAATTAGCATGATGTTCTAGATAGAGTGTGTTGAGTTTTCAGGGAAGAAAGTAAAAAGGTAAATGGTAAGACAGTAGTTTTCGCAAATTCTATAAAAAACTAACTCTTGATTTATTTCTAAAGATCTGTACAAGGACAGTACATAGTACCTAACCTTATTTCTTAGATCAAAAACAAAATAATAGTGAAAGGAAAGGCTTTTCAATATATTTCTAAACTGAGAAGTGGTAAACCACAACCCTGGTATTTCCAAAAATGAAAACAAAATTTTTACAAGACTGTATTATTTTGTTAATTAAGGCCATGACCTCAAAATCTGTGAGGTCAGTTAGTTTGGTCTTAGATATTTTCACTCTCCAACATGTCCCATTATTGCTTGCATATAACAAATACAGAACTAAGAAAAAAAAAAAAACTGTGTGAAAATCACCTATTTATTCTCAACACCCAACACCTTTTGGTTTTACAGTTGGATTTGAAAATGTGAGAGAAGAAAAGATGGAATCTAGATATTTATACACTAGTAAAAGCAGAGTAGCTATCTGTAGGTAGGAGCCCAGCAATAGTGAGGAGACTTATGAAGGTAAGTTGGCAAGAGTACTAGAAAAGATTATCTATTAATGGCTTTCACTTCATACTCTGATATGACACCTATGCTGCAAAAGAAATATGACTCCCTACCCACACTGTCCTACCCTGCCATTTCCCCAAGCAGAAATTCCATTCTCATGTGACTGCTCTACTTAAATTGGAAGGCATTTAACCACCTGCCACTGTCATCCACTAATCTGACCTCCGCCTGCTTTCTACACAAGTTTCACAGGCCTGGGGTTACTGCTTATCTTTTCTAAACATGAGGCATGCTCTGTTTCTATGCTTGTGGCCAGACTCAGATTCTACCATGGCCACTGTTTTAAAAATTCATTAATTATTTGCTTAGTTGATGAAATGACAGATTTATCACAGTAATAAAACAATCTTAAATAACAAACTTAAATAACAGCTAACACTTTGACTTTTTAAAGAAGAAATTCACTAATAAGGTTTGCTCTATGAAAGAAAACCTGAAACTATATAGAACTAACCACAAGAATGTAAAGCTTATGGTGTATATATTAGACATATGTATCTTTGGAAAGTAGCCTTAGCAATTATGTTCAATTACCAGCAAGTAAGTTGTCATTGCCTGCCAACATGCATGAAACACCTTTTGTCTGAGATAGCCCTCACACTTCACTAGAAGTGAGACCTTTCTCAGAATACTTCCAGCCAAAAGGAATCCAAATCTTTTTAAGAGGTGCTTTTCAAACCTAATTGGTAACTATTTAAGTTGGGTTTTAATTTAGTAGAAAGAAAAGTTTAATAACTAAAGATGATCGTGTTAGATCTTTGTTACATACTGGCTTTTATTAAACACCCAACTTTTCTTGATGCTAATTAGGTTTTGATATACTTTTGAGAAATCTCTCTGTGAGAGTATTTTATTAAGTGTCCTTTTTTCTAAACAATTGTTTAGGGAAATGTAAATGAACTTTATGTTAAAATACCTCTCTCAAAAGGGGTTTCCTATACTCCAGATTAGTTTATACCTAGGAAGATAATTCTCACTTTCTCTATTAATTCCCAATGTGTATAATTTAGTGATATCTAAACCAAATCTTTACCCCATCTTCAGGCTTCTCACTCCCAGAATTCTATGTATGATACAGGCAGATTCTCCAACCAAATCTGGTTGCTTTATTCTAAGTGCCAAATCTACACCTGCTTTTTGATATAGACATTTAAAAACAAACAAGAAGACATGGCTTAAGCCTTATGTGTTATTCCTATGTTTTTGTTTTTGTTTTTGTTTTAATATACTGTGAAGAAACGGTTGGGCTGTCAGGCAATACCAAACAGACAGAGGGAAAGATGTTAGGTCATAAACGACTTCTGTTTTCTTGTCCTTTTAAAGGTGGTTGTGATTTCAAAGTATGTGATGGTGGCATAGAAACTTTTCCAAAGAAAAAAGAAAAGGAAAATCTGCTTTTAAAGCCCAATAGAACATGTCTTCTCTGATTCCCTGGCTGTGGGACTGACAGTCTTTCCCTTACTTTTAAATAGGAAGTACTAGTATTGTCATGAGTCTTGGCAGCTCAGGTCTCCTTTACATGTCAATGCAAGTAAAAGCATGTTACATTCTCTGCGATTTGTGACTTGTTTTCACAAAAGACAAGTGTGCTTTGAAAGCAGCTGTCTCATTTAGATCCATGGGTCTTGCAGGAACTGAAAAGTTGGCATGTTAAGTCTGGTGCCCTGTCCCTTGGTGCTTTTTAAAGCATTGGGGGTAATAACTTAAAAGCCTTTTTCTCTTCCAAAACTTTATTAACCTTTCAACCATTTTCATGGCTTCATACTCTAACTTTTTAGAGGGCCCTACGCCAGCCCTTACAGAATCCTAGTTGTAGCAAAGGAGGTGGGAAAGGTGAGGGGAAAAGAGTAAGAAAGAAATACACCTGGCCAGTTCAATAAACAGAGTATAGGGCCGGGCGTGGTGGCTCAAGCCTGTAATCCCAGCACTTTGGGAGGCCGAGGCGGGTGGATCACGAGGTCGAGAGATCGAGACCATCCTGGTCAACAGGGTGAAACCCCGTCTCTACTAAAAATACAAAAAATTAACTGGGCATGGTGGCACGTGCCTGTAATCCCAGCTACTCAGGAGGCTGAGGCAGGAGAATTGCTTGAACCCAGGAGGCGGAGGTTGCGGTGAGCCGAGATCGCGCCATTGCACTCCAGCCTGGGTAACAAGAGCGAAACTCCGTCTCAAAAAAAAAAAAAAAAAAAAAAAAAAAGAGTATATACTTATTCATGATTACCAGCATTCCAGTTATTTAAAATTTTGTGTGCTCCTTGAGATTAAATTGTTCATAATAAGGTCCAAAAGTCTTCTTTTCCAAGTGGTACTGGGAGTAATGTATTTTCTTTTTAAGTCTTTTACACTGGTAGAAACTCTTTCCTTAAGAATGCTATGAGTTTTGTATTTTCATTGTCAACACTTTTCTCTGTTATGATATGTAGTCCTGGGTTTTCTTTTATTTTTAGAGAGTTAAGGCTGATGGGTGGTATTCCCTTCCCTTAGTGTGTCCCTG